CTGTTTTAATCTCATTTCAATACGGCTGTACCCAAAAAAAAAAAAAAGAACATTTTTCTGGTCAAATTCTAACGTGTTGCTTGTTTTGCACTGCATAGATTAATAAGTTGGCAGCTGTCAGAATTAATGGAATGGTTGAGAGGCTTCAACTGTCTCAACAGATACGGGAGAGTGTTTATTGTCTTTTTCAACAAATACTTAGTCAGCAGACATCTCTCTTCTTTAATCGTCATATTGACCAGATCATCCTCTGTTGTTTTTATGGAGTCGCAAAGGTCTGCTGCTAGTAACTAATAACATTCATTAGCTGCTGTTCAATTTATCTGCACATTTTCTCACACTTTGTGAATGATGGCCTGCAGATCTCTCAATTGAACCTGACTTTTAGAGAAATTATCTATAACTATAGGAAGCAACCACAGTGTAAACCACAAGTGTTTCGAAGTGTGTTTGTTGACTGGTCAACGGCACGGCATAATGGGGTAGGATGCCTAATCTTTTCTTTCTTAGATGTCTCCTCTTTTGTAGTCGTTTCTAACCATCCAATGGTCTGGCAACAGAAAACAGGGCAGGATCATGTTGATATTATTACATTCTACAACGAAATATTTATTCCCACTGTGAAGCCATTGCTGGTTGAACTTGGTCCTTCTGGGACAAGTACAAGAACTACTCGGATTCCTGATGCCAATAATAGCAATGAAGGTATGCTTTTGATATCTCAGTGTGATCTGATTTTTTTTTGGTTGCCCCTTGCCATTCCTGTAAGCCACCGCCTAATGTGCTTCCTTCGGTGTTCTTATCCAATCAGGTCAATGTCCAGGATCGCCTAAAGTTGCACCTTTTCCAAGTCTTCCGGATATGTCGCCGAAGAAAGTATCTGCAACACACAATGTATACGTCTCCCCATTGCGGACTTCCAAGGTACCTATAATTAAAAGTTATTGTAACATGGAGTTAAATAGGCTAGTTAATTTCTCATCTTGGAATTTATTTTCTGTTTTATGTTTTTCTTTTAAAAAAGCTTCAATTTAGCATTTGATTAGCCTGTTGAGAAAAACAGAAAAGCTTTTGACTGGAGACTCCATTTTTTAGAAGTTATTGTTGGCAAAATTCTTATGTCAGCTCCATTTTAGTTTAATTTGGTCTGTCAAGTGGAGCATGAACTTATGTTAAGGCATTAAATTTTTTAAAACGTAATTAAAAGGCACATTATAACCTGTCGAAACTGGATTATGTTTCTCGTCTACAGATGGATGCCCTAATCTCACACAACTCAAAAAGCTTATATGCTTGTGTCGGGGAGAGCACACATGCATATCAAAGCCCATCAAAGGACCTTACAGCCATCAATAATCGCTTAAATGGGTATGTTTTATGTTTTGACAACGACTATTAAACATGGAAGATCTTTGAACGTCCTGATAATGACAGTTTGCATTGACTTTCAGTACCCGAAAGGTTAGAGGCACACTCAACTTTGATGGGATTGATGTTGGCTTGGTTAGTGATTCCATGGTTGCCAGTAGCCTGTACCTTCAAAATGGCAGCTGCATGTCCTCATCCTGTGCGCCACCAAAATCTGAGCAATTGGACTCTTGAATCTTTGATTTTGCATCCCTATTCCCTACTTTCCCTGTTTGTAAATCCTGGCTCTCTTCCAATACTTAAATCTGTGTCCCAGGGCATGGCATGCGCGGTTATTTATTGTATGATATCCGCCACCCCCTATGTGCCTACATATATATATTACTCAATACTGTAGTTGAAGCTGGCCTAACAAATTTAATAAAATTTGCCTTTTTTGATCAATGCTGCTGCAAATACCAGTATCCATCCTCTGCCTGAACATTTTTTCCAATGTCATCTTGATTCCCAAAGGGATATTTCTTCTTCATTAAGTGGTGTGAAACACATCACAATTGGTTGTTTTCGCTTTCTAAAATTTGGAAACGAATCTCAGCATGCTTGTGTTCAATTCGTAGCTTTAATGTCTGTTTAACCCAATGTGAGCCTAAATTTACTCTATGATATAAATCATTTGAAACACGAACACAACTCACACTCTTTAATTGAGCAAAGCTTCATCTGTTAGGCCATCATTGTTAACGGGAATCTCTAGAAAGAAGAAAGAGGAGGAAACCGCGGAAGTCAAACACGGTGCAAGCAACTCCGATTCTAGATAAAAATGCATATAGGAAACCAGATTGTCACCATCTCAAAGATTATTTATGATAATTTAGCATGTCTGTGCATGTAACGCATCAGCCTAACTACCCGTACCTTGCTGTCCCAATTTGTTCTCCTGTCAACAATAAGTCAGCTTTACAGATTGGAGCTCGATTACCTTGGATGATTACTTCTGAGTTTTGCGCAATTCAGCCAACCATCGAAACCACTTCTCTAAGAAGCAGAAGTCTTCACCAAGTGGTTAGGATGTTTGTATATGCTTCAGCTAGGAGACAACGCACTACCATTCCTTTTTTTCATTTTTGGTTACTTTTTTTCCTCTTTTTTACACAAGACGTCTAAACAAGCTTTAATATGTAGCCATGAGAGATGGCTACGCCCTAGCAAAGTCATGGAGATGCCCACTCAAAGTAGTGGCAGCGTGCACCTCTTGTAGCAGTCCAGTTTCCACAGCCAAAGAAAACGCTCCCTTGTTTTGGCCCTGGCTTCCTAACCGTTCCTTTGCTACTCTTCACCCCACAGAAACAATAGGGATGATACTGGAACACTGGCACCTGCTGATCATTTGGCTTGTAGGGGAGATATGAAGGGGGTATGTGCTCCGGGAACTGCTTCCATGTCAATGGACAATCAGTATTCTGCCAAATCAGTGAGTTTGTTATAGAGAACTTGAAACCCTTGCACATCAAGAGGGCAAGTAAGCGAGCAGTGTTCTTTGCATCATCTAGACCACAATGAGCACGTCCCTGCCATGCCAGCCCAGCCATCTCCACTGCCTCTTTCAGGTTGCACCTCACACCACCAAAAACCTCATGGAAAGGAACTTTTAAGTTGATCCACCTAGCAAAAAATTATCAGAAAAGATTAATCAGGATTTATGCTAAATTTAGGTGAGTATTACTACAAATCTTTTACACACAAAAAAAAAAAAAAAAAAAAAAAATCCAAGGAAACAAATCATATTATATAAGAAAAGAGAAAAAAAAATAAACAAACAAGTTCTCATCTAAATTACTTACTGGTTAAAGTAAGAAGGCTTTCGAATCTTTTTGAATCGGCACTCAGATTCCAGCATTACCCGACAGTCCCAGTTGGACCATGTCACAACTGCAAAGCTGGTATTCTTTATACCTTTCTTCTCTAGCCACTTATCATGTCTAAGGAGAGCCTCACTCAGTGTAACGCCTCTGTCCACCTGGAACCACATGGTGAAACTGAAGTCTTAGAGATGATGGTAGAACAATAAAAAGATGAAATCATGATCTAAACAACCATAACCTTGATTATAAATCCAGACCCATTTATGACTTAAGTCACATGTTTGACTTGTTTGGAATCCAGATAAGGCCTTGCGTTAATCTTCTAGTCTTTCCTCCCAGAATCTTTGGGTTTAACTATGGCATTTGAAAATAAATTCCAGTCACGTCATTTATGTCCTCTATAATATTTTAACCTAACATTGATGCAGGCTTTCAGCTTTGACGTTGTAAAAAAAAATAGTTAAATACCAACAAAGAAAACGAAGATGGCAGCAACTGCACAACAGATTTTCAGCTTAGAATTCAAATTGCGGCAATGACTGTGTTACCCTTGCATTCTAATTAACTCAGTTGATTAAATAAGTGCATTTCATTGTATTAAAACCATTAAAAGGTAGGTTTGCTACACAAAGTAAAAGACATGGCATGGACAATAACCATTGACTTTCTTTCTTCTGATAAAAAATTAAAAATGATGTTTAATTCAATAGTTCTGAACTAACCTGAATTTGCTGGATGCCAGTCAGATCCTTGCAAAAGTCAGTTAGTAGCTGATTGCAAGTTGGCCTAACATATGTCTGAAAACATGCTTCAAGCTGCCCAGTAATGCTACTGACGATGACAGATGGGAACTCAATTATCTCTTGTGGATGTGGATTTTTCTCCTTGTCGCATGTAGCCTCAAAGTCTATGACCACAAAATACTGAAAATCTTGAAACTGGAATTCATAAGGATGTCCTTGAACAGTTGTATTGAATGGTGCATGGTGAAACTGGTTCTCCAAAGGAAAGTAGTAAAGCTGGTTCTCAAAAGGATACACTGGGAATGGCTGCACCTTTTGATAGTCAGGGTAGAAGGTTGAGCATGAGCGATAATGATGCTGGTGGGTTTGCTTGTTGTAAAACTCATTTGATTGTTCCATAAATTCGCCACTAAGAGAACAAACTGGTTCGGAAACATCCCCACCAGGTTGAGCAGCAAAGTCACCTTTAAGCTCAGGAGAGACTTCAATTGGATTCCCATTAGGTTGTAGGCTGTAAGGGAATCCGTTGGCCTGGAGACATCTTAGGGATGCCTCACAGTGCCAGTGCATAGTTTCTGCAAAATAATAACAACAATAATAAAACCAATAGAACATCTAAGTTGCTGAGCCAAAAAAGAAAAAGAAAAAGAATGAATGAATGAAAGAAAGAAAGAAAAAGAACATCCAAGTTTGAATGTTTCATCATAAGAATCAATTATAATTGAGTCCTATCAATCAGGGTGCTATCAAAGATGCTACTGCTTTCAAGGCATCAAGAAAAAAAGCTGAATCACAAAAAGTAAAAAGCATTCAACTAAACCAGACACCAAGTTTAAAGATGCTATGCACGTCCTGTTTCAAAGTCCCATAGAACATGAAAATACCTTCCAAAACTAAAAGGGTAGTTACACCTTTGGTGCCACCCTAAAGACCAAACACAGAAAATTCATCTACTTGATTCCTTTAGACAATATTAAACCAGAATTGACCAATGGAAGTGGTCGAGCCCTTGCCACATAAACAACAGACTTAAACAAGAATACTTCTGAGCATGGATAAATAGACTGGATAAGCAGACAAATCAAAGTTTCACCATCTGTCATAAAAAACAATAAACACAACCACCATTTTGCAACAAGAAGTCTATGTATAAAATGTGAGAAGATAACCATAACTAACTGCTTGAACTGCGTCCCCTTACCTATCTACTTCTAGAATGATACATTAGAGCGTCTTTCAACAAGCATGATAGAGTAGTTACTCAGATCTATTGAAATGCAAAAGTTGAATGCAAATCCTGAAAATCTAGATTCTTAAAGATAAAATTGTGTTTGGAACAATGGAGGTGCTGGGTT